CGTGTGGGGGGGAACAGGAGTCTGATTCTCAGAAGAAACTTCTGCTTCAGCTGGGGAGGCCAGCTGGATATGCAGCGTCAGGGTGTGTGTGTGTGTGTGTGTGTGTGTGTGTGTGTGTGTGTGTGTGGTTTTCGTGGTGATTTTATTTATGACGAGTCGTTTTCGGCTGTGTCACCGAGGAGGACAAAACAAAGGAGTGCGGTCTTCCACGCTGAAAAGGAAAGCATTTTCTGTAGGGCAGACGTCCAAAGTTCTCACAGCTTGGATCCTCAGGACCAGTTCCACCTGTTCCTCATTAAGGTGGGAGGGGCGGTTCTCCAGTTCTCCAAACGCATGCCGCTCCTGTGAATCACAGCACGTCTGACAGCTGTCATGGCGACGCTTACCTTCTGGACGGCTCAGGCGAATCCTGACAGGAATTTTTTTGTGTTGTGCAAGCTCTGTTTTTAAACTCGTCTCATTTCCTCAGCGCTAACTCTGGCCGGTTAAACTGTACCCACTCATTGGCCAGTTTATTAGCTACACCTGCCTAGTCCTGGGTTCGATTCCCTTTTTTGCCTACAGAACAGACTGAAATCCTCAATGAATGGATCCCGTATGGAGTTTGTGATGTGTTCTCCCCCGCAGCCTTCCTGACGGCTGGGCATTCCCTTCGTACCTCTCATGAAAAAGCTGCCCTCAAAGCTGCTGTCTGCTGCATCTGTTTTTATCAGACCATCTTTAATCACACTTTAGGCTCTAGACACTGTAGTGTGTGAGAGTCCCAGAACGGTGGCTGTTTCTGAGAAGTCAGAACCACCAAATTTTTCATGTTCATAATCTCGCAGATCAGCCGCGCTTCCCATTCTAAAGCTTTGTCAAACAGTAACCGGGTGGCTTTATCCAGTTTGCATGCTCTATGAGTCACATGATTGCATCATGATCATGATGTCTGTTTGTAAGCACAGGGTGGATTGTTTTTATCCGGTGGTGTACCTAATACACTGGCTACTGAGCATATTAGACGCTCAGTAAGTAACAGAATTTTTAATAACCCACCTGCATGATAACTGTCAACTTTGGAGGTTGTTAACTGTCGTCTGTGAAGCAGTACAAGTCTGTGGCCTGACGCAAAAGGAACACATCGAAGTATGATAATGCACATACTCCATTTGGTATCATAATTATGTTGCAATGCCAACGTATTGTCAGTCTTATTTGTTCATGACAGATCAATGCCGGTTCTCAGGATAGGGCTGGATTTGCGCAGAGTTGGTCATGTGACAGGATTTATAGCCCAAATGGGATCTCCCTGGGGGGGGAGGGTTAGGGACCCGTCGTCTTTGAAACGTTATATTACCTGCTGATGGATCGCCTTCCCGTTTTCACTTCTGAATGCTTCTAGCTGACAGGCTGTATTTTTCCCATTATATTCAGGCTAAAACATCCCCAAAAAGCGTCTTTCTTCACCCTTCAAAACAGAATCAAAAAGAAAGGATACGACAGTTAGCGCGTAGCTAAGCCGTTTACGCTAATCGTTCATCTGAATTTGTGCACGTGGAATAAAATATAGCGATAATTGCATGATACCCTGAGCCTTCTTGCACATTTTGCAAGACAAATACCCATGCCTCCGTCGCTTGGGCCTGTTTTACGATGGCAGGTGCGACCCTGATCGGTTCCATACCCTCACAGATGCATTCCAACTGCTTTAGCTAAACTGAGTTGGCGGTTTGAATTAGCATTTCTCGCTCCTGCAAGGACGATCATCAGGAATCTATTTCAGTTAATCATTTGCACAATGTAAGCCTTTCGTTTTAAAAATCACTCCACACTACGATTCAAATAATCCTTTCAGAATTACTCCTGGGGCAATTATTTAAGAAAAAAAAATAGCAGACTGTCATATGAAGTATTTATGAGTACAGGAAATGCTAATGTGATGCGAATTATCCGCAGTATAACTTGTTAGCTTTGTTACAACTTCCGGCAATAACTTTTTATTATTCTTGTTTAATATTTTAAACCTATATGATGCATTGGAGGGAAATGTGCCATTTTCTTTTACCTTGTATAAAATCTCGTACCAAAGGGCCTGAAGATGTAGTGTAGTGTTTAACGACATAGAACCATAACTCAAAGGATCCCAGTTCAGAATTCCCAGCGGAATTTGTTGTAGTATCCTTGAGCGAGGCACTTAAGCTGAGTTGTCGCAGTAAAATAGGCTGCCGTAGAAGAGAAAGGCATCAGCTAAGCAGTGAAATGTAGAAAGTCATCTGGCCTTTCAGAGAATCAGCCTCGGTATTCATTTTTAGCCTGTGTTCGTCCTGAAATGCGTCTGTCTTTCACACTTGGCATAGGATGGGGGCTAGTGTGAAAGGTGTATTCTTGGCATGTTCGGGGGGGGGGGAGAGGAGAGAGGCCTACTATAAAAAATGTACAGGAAGCAGCATGATAGCAAGCACCTTCGGAGCTCGTTCCTTCAGCAAAGCGAGAGAGCATCTGTGGGATGTGGGGGGGGGGGATTTCAAAAAGAACCCATTAAGAGCCCCTCGTGTCGCAACTTCTGTTGTCATCTGCGCAGATCTGACGCTATTTTTCAAGACCTCGTTTCCCCTCCTTCCTCCCCCGAGACGTAGCATGACTCGAGGTGATGAGACAAAAGGGGAAAGAAAAGAAGCGCAGGCTGTCGATGTCACTGCTCCCCACGGACGCCTGCCGGTCTTCTGCCAGCAGCCGGATCTCCTCCTGCCTGCCAGAAGCATCTTGCCCACGCGCGTCCCGTCAGCTCGCGAGTAGCAGCTATTTCCTGGAAACCGTCGGCTTCGGTCGTGTGACGTAGCGCCCGGCTCTGTTTATGGTTTGGGTTTTTGCCGGAGTAGGTCAAACAATGAGGGTTGATGGAAGCTGCGTAGTAACTGCTCGGTTTGTTATTTATCTATAAAATAATTAACGTACTTTATTGTTACTTCCCTTCTGCTGCTTTTAGCCAGACCGTAATCGACGTTGCGCTAAACCACCGCTTTCTGAGAACTGATGCAGGGGAAGTCGACCCTCCAGTCTGACTGGAACGTTTCCTCCCCCGTCTGTTGTGAAATGCGCTTACCTTTGGAATCCAGTTTAGACCCCACCCCAGCATTCAGGGCGTCCAATAGGAGCAGGCTAGAACTGGCCGTGAGGTCCCATGGCTCAGTGGGGTGTAGCTGCAGGCCGTCGCGCTCGGGAGGGGTTCGAATCCCCTTGCCCAGCTGTGTATGTGGAGTTCGCGTATCCTCCCTGTGTTTTACGCTGCCGATGGCGTGCACCGTGTGACGGACGGCCGTCCTGGCCAGGCTGCACCGTATCTTTCCGAGATCTTTCCATTTTATACTGGATAATCCTTCATGGAAGATGTTATGGGAGATGGAAAAACAAGCTGTTGTGATGTCTGTGTGGGGGGTGTGCAGACAGGCACATTGACTGGGGGGTGGGGGTTGTGGCTCATCCAGTTAGGATGTTCCAAGTACCCTTTCTCAATAGACGATGCCTTCTCGCACGCGCCCCAAAAAAACAGTTAGCCACACCCCTGTATTTAGCACTTAACTTCTCTGTACATCACTTTTATACACTATTAATAAAACACTCTACCTTTGCTTTTTAACCATTTTTTGGTAGTATGTGTCCTCCAGTCAGGGGACGGTGTATGGCTGAGTGGGTTTTGGGACTCTGAGCCTGTGATCGGAAGGTCGCTGGTTCAAGTCCCAGGGTCAGCAGAATGATGTCACCGTCGGGCTCCTGAACAAGCCCTTAACCCCCAATTGCTACACAGACTGGCTGACTCTGCTCTCTCAAATATATGGCAGTGTTTCCCCAAGGGGGGGGGGGGCAGACGGACACCAGCAGGATTCATGGTGTTCATGAGTTTCTTTTAATGACAGCAGTCAATATAACAACTGACCTAAACATCAGAACATTTCTTTTTATGACAATTATCCACAAAGTGTGCAGCGCTTGTCACTGCAGTGTATCTTTCTGGGCTTCTGGAAGAACATCTCTAGAACCTCTTGATATGGGAAGTCAGAAACATCTGGCCCATTTACTGAGATCTGAATGCAGGCTGCAAGATGGTCTCCTTGCAGCCTGTCGCGGATGTTTGTCTTGACCTGCAAATACATTAACTGTTAGGCTTTAAAAGTGATAGCTGATAGCTTAAGATAGTGATAGTTTAATGCAGAAAACGTGTGAAACGTATGCATTACCCTGTTCATGGTTGAGAAGTCTCTCTCACAGTTTACACTGCTGACCGGGACTGTCAGGGCAATGGAAAACGCAGATATTTTTGTCTGCTTTTCAGATGGTTGACACGACATATTTTCCAACGCGGGCTCCCTGTTCACTGGTGGGAGTGTGCTCACCTTAATGTGGGTGCACTATCTGTGCGCGTCTCTATGGGGCGTCTCTGGTCGCCTCAGTGGCCTGATCTGTTCAGGATGGGATCTAAACGCAGTTTTGCAGCACAGTTTTTAACCTCGCACATTCCTCCAAAGGTCACTTATTCGATTTATCACACGTTCATATGATGGCACACATCCAAACTGGCGATTCTTCAAGCGGCCCCGGTACCCATCGAACCGGGCTTTCCCAGCAGTGGGCTTAAATGGTAAGAAATTCACCTACGAGGGCCCGTAACTGGATCATGCTTCGCAGTTAATTTGCGCAGTAGATGTCGCCGTCTGTTGCAGAGGCTCGCGAGCAGACAGACACGCTGGGTCCGTTTTTATTTGCATTTCATCAAGGGTGTCAAACTGCAGTCCTGGGGGGCCGGAGCCCTGTGTAGCTTAGTTCTTTCCCTGTTCCACCACAAATGATTCAGCTCAAGAGCTGTGTGGTAATTAGCACAAGGAGTTGAATCAAGTGTGTTAAATGATGGGAAGCCCAAAAATGTGCAGGGCTCCGGCCCCCCAGGACTGGAGTTTGACACCCGTGCATTTCATGATCCTGTCGGAGGTAGATCTGACGAAGCCCTCTCTGTTCCCGGACAGAATGACAAAGTTCCCAGACGTTCAGGAAGCCGAACCAGCAACATTTCCAAGGTACAGCACACCCCCGTGCACCACATATGACCACGACGTTATGGAGAAATTTCAGCTGGTGTTTCTATATCACACAAATCCTCAGAAAATGTGTTTAGAGAAGTTGCGTGTTCATTGAACCAGGATATTTATTTGCGTAGGAAATCTCTGATATTCTTGGCAGCGGCGCAAGAGTTAAAGTGTAAACAGAGCAGACTTCCTGTAACTGGTTTCACTTTCTATTGTTCCACACCTAGTTCTTTCTTCGTGCTCACTGTACTCATTTCTGTATTCTTGCGTGGCTGACAATTGCGCCGGTCGCTCGCCATGTCCGAGTTCTTCTTGAAGTCGTCGTGCTGGAGGACGAGAGTGACACTGTACGACTGGTCGTTGCAGGCGAGTAGCTCCACGACGGGGATCGGCCCCCACAGCGTCTCCCGCACCTCTGTCACCTCCTCTTCTCAGGATATCTGCAGGTAGGTCTCTGAACAGCCCTGTCATCGTCACAAATCTCCCCATGTCGCTCTTCTGTCTGTCTGCCTGGGCTTTATTTACATTTCTCCTGGTCATTCCATCAAGTTTCGTACTCTGCTTAAGCATTCTGTTTATCTTCTCCCCAACCCCCACCCTCGTAAACTGAGCTTCAATAATATCTGATCCTGCTCCAGAATGTTCATTTCAGATACTATCTGAAGCCGCTGGGGACGTACTGTACTGTGCAAAAGCAGTAGGAAGTCAAGGACAATGTTTACAGTTATTTATCTGGGTAGTAAATGTATATTTGCTCAGATTATAAAATAAATGATCTTCCTGTTTGAGTAAAACCACAGTACTATGTCTGTCAAAGGGGGTCAGCTCAGCCATTTCAAAACCTCTGCTAAAGTCACAGCAGCCACAGATTAATGCACCCTCATATTCTTTTTTGACTTGATCACTTGCACACCTTGTTTGGCTAATCAACTAATTACGTGAATTAATTGAGTGAGCTGCTGGTGAAATTTAACAAATACATGGAGTGGCTGAGGTGCCCCCCGAGGAGAGGTTTGGGAGCTGAAGCTGTGAGCTGAAGCTGTGAGCTGAAGCTGTGAGCTGAAGCTGGGCTCATCTAGCCGTCCGGCAAGAGATCAGTGACTTTTTGGAGAACTGAAGAAATTCTTGTTAGTTTATTGTGTATCTCTACATTTGCATATATTCTAATCTTAAACTGTGTTTTTGTTCTGAGCAAAAGCAAGCTTACTACCCAGGTAAAGCTCTAAACATTATCTTTGGCTGCTTGCACAGTACTGTGTGTTTGGCTTCTCGCGGCAGCAGCCTTGTAAACCGCACTGGTTTAGCGGTAGCAGGCAGCCAGCGGAGCCGCCACTGCAGAGCCCAGCTGAAGCCACTGTGTTCTCTGTTTTTTTATGTGTCTTATTTTCCTACCCGCATCTGTCTGGTTCTCTCTTCATCCTGTCTTTTCCCACTTTTCATCTTCCATGTCTGCATGTCGCCGCCGCCGCCTCTCGCCGTTCCTGCCTCTCCGCCGCCTCTCGCCGTTCCTGCCTCTCCGCCGCCTCTCGCCGTTCCTGCCTCTCCGCCGCCT